GAGTGAAGAGGGAGGTGGCAATGGCCAAACAGAAAGCATATGATGAGTTGTATGCCAGGTTAGACACGAGGGAAGGTGAGAAGGACTTGTACAGATTAGTGAGACAGAGAGATAGAGATGGGAAGGATGTGCAACAGATAAGGGCGATTAAAGACAGAGATTGAAAGGTGCTAACAAGTGAGGAGAGTGTGCAGAGAAGATGGAAGGAGTATTTTGAGGAACTGATGAATGAGGAAAACGAGGGGGAAAGAAGGGGGAAGAGGTGCATATTGTAGAGCAGGAAGTAGCAAAGATTAGAAAGGATGAGGTGGAGATGGAGCTGCCAGGCAAGAGGTCAAGAGGAAGGCCAAAGAGGAGATATATGGATGTGCTAAAAGAGGACATGAAGTTAATTGGTGTGAGAGTAGAGGATGCCAAGGATAGAGTTAGGTGGAAACAGATGATTCGCTGTGGCGACCCCTAACGGGATCAGCCGAAAGAAGAAGAAGAAGACCTCTACACCAGGAGTCACCTTCATTGGCTTTTCAAATTCAAAGTTTCCGCTGTTTAACTGGTGTCGTGTTTTGGCATGAAATGTGAAATTGCACTCGCAGCCTCTGCTCTTCTTTTCGAGGTCTTATCACGTTGGGTAATGAGTGAAAAGTCCAACAGGAGCAACTGTTGCTGGGGCTTGAACTAAAGTTAAATAGTTTAGTGTTAGCAAGCTGCTGACACTGGCAACAGAATGTCATTCTGCACACTAGGAATGTAAAGTTACTTTTTCTAATGGGGGAAAGGTTTGTTAATTCAATGACTGTCAACATCAGTAGCACAGGTTGCTGCATATTTCACTGTGGATGTTGCGCTGCTGTTTATGCAGCTTGTAGCAATGTTGTGTGTTCACTCTATGCAGCCGTCCTCCTCACTGTTGTTCATTTAACTGCATGTGTGTGTTTTCTTTGTTTTGGCTCCACACGTCAGCTGTGTAAATCTAACACAAACAGGATTATTGTACAGTGAGTTGCTCAAGTCCAAAACACACATGTTTATTAATCGAAAATTACACATTTGTTTATCATTGTTATCGAAGAGATTTTTTTAATCATAAAAATGATCATTGTCATCTTATCAACCCAGCACTAGGAGGGAGCTACTGGCACATTTTGTGAGACAGCTGATGATATCATCTAGCTCACACAATGCGCCAGTAGTCACCACATCATTTCACTGGTGATTTAGAGCCTTTGCAATAGAGGGGTGAAAAATGTGAGGGTGGTGTTGGAGGGAAGGTCTTAGCAACACTAAAATCAATAATATAAAAAAAATTCTTAAAATTATGTGATATGATAATTTTACAGTAATACAGTATATCCTTTGTACTGTATAAAGGTGTGTGAGACCCATGGAGTTTTTGGTGTTCTCTTCCTTCAGGGGGCGAGATGTGGAGAAGGCCTGCGCTTCAGGAACGTGTCATGCTTTGTTGCTGATGGTTTGGGTCATCACAGTAGCCTGGTGGATGATGAACTGTGTGGAGATCTGGAGCCTTCAGTGGACGGATATCCACACATTGTTCTGAAGGAGCCCTGTATTGTACCCTGTCCAGGTAGGTCACAACTTCTGATATTACACACTCCTACAGCCCTCATCTTACAGGTGTGAGCTAGAGCTGAAAAATATTTGTCCATTAATTGATTAGCTGACTGACAGAATAGAGATGACGGACAAAAATCAAGAACCATGTTGTAATAAATCAGAATTATCTGTTAAATTCACGGGACTACCTTAATTCATTCCAAAAAGTGATTTTAAGTCTCCAACATAAAGTTCACCCCAGAAAAGCTGAGGATGTTCTCTGATCTCAGCTGGTTTCTGCTCTGCACAGGTGAGTTTGTCCTGCTGTTTAACATACAGTCTTAAATAAAGGTAGATTTTAAACAGAGAACTGACAAGTAGTAAGTAAGTGTTTTATTAATCTGAGAAGAGTAACTAGTAGCTCAAGTTAGAAAATAAATATTATGGAGTAAAAAGTATAATATTTGCCTCTAAAGTGTCCAAGTATGAAGTAGCAGAAAATGAAAATATTCAAGGAAAATGCAAATACCTCAGAATTGTACTTAATTACATTACCTGAATAAATGTACTTAGTTACTTTCCACCACAGAATGCAGGGCTAAAATTGGGCTTAATCCACACAGTGTCTGCCCAGCGTAACCAGGTAATGTTGTCTACTTGTTAGATGGTCAGTATCAACTGACTAGATAACAAAAATATGAGTCTTATTAGTGTGCTTACTCTGAATCCTAGCAAATATGCTTAGTGCAGGTTTTCCCAGAGACTGCTGAAGCACGTACTGTTTTGCGTGCTTGACTGCAGGAGCTTCAAGAGCTCCAGAGTGTGGCACACTGTGCAAAACTGGTGTTAACAGGTGGGAGGCTGAGGGTTAATTATGACTCCACTCATCCAAAAGAGTTGTCAGTGTACATTAGGTCTACACATGTACATACACACTTGAACGTTTACTGTGTGCACACTGCTGCTGCTATAACCGCAGTCGGTTTTCTTTTTACAGCAATGTAGTGGAACCTTAAAGGTTTTCACTGAGGTACAATAAAAGCGCTACAAACATCTCAATATTATAAAAGCTTCCTGCATTAATTAAATTCCCACATCTGCCTTGTGATTACAAAGGGAGCAGTGTGACCTATTTAACAAAGAATTTTCTCTTGGCTGAGTGGATCATGCTCCTTGGCATTGTAATGAAAAATGGATTTAGCTTTTTGTGGGGAAACATTTGAGAAGAGGTTTAACTCTCATTTCCATTCCATTTTGATTTGTGTTAGTGACCAACAAAGGCATAACTGGATGAATTTTGAACTCATTTTTCTAAGCAGCTTTAGTTAAAGGTAGATTTCTCCCTTGGTAGCTTTGCTGTAGTTCAGCTTCTTCCAGTATGAAGCATTTGCTAGCTTTCAAAGCAGCTTCCCCAACACTGCATGTTTATGGACACTTGTTTTCCCCAGTTCCTGGTCAGCTGTTTGTCTTTTGTTTCCTGACTGCCTTGTCAGATTGTTTAGTCACCTTCATTATCTGGTAGTTTGTTCCATTCCCTGTTAGCATCAGTTGTGTTCAGTTCAGTTCATTTCAGTTTTATTTGTATAGCGCCAAATCACAACAAAAGTCATCTCAGGACACTTCACAAAGTAAAGTCTAGACCTTACTATTATCACTATTATTATTGGGGAAAAACCAACAAATCCCCCCTGAGCAGCACTTGGGGACAGCGGGGAGGAAAAACTCCCTTTAACAGAAGAAACCTCTGACAGACCCTGGCTCTTGGTGGGCGGCCTTCTGCCTCAACCAGTTGGGATGAGTGGATAGAGGAGAGAGAAAAGAAGAAAAGCAACAAGACACAACAAACACAACAACAAGCAATCAAACAATGGTCAGGTTGATGTGGCCAGTGACTGCTCATCAGAAACGTAGAGCTCCAGAGCCAGGGCAACCTGCAGAAAGGTACAGGGAGAAAGAGAGAGAGAGAGAGAACACAGTTAGTGACGGGTAGTAGTGGGATATAGATGAATGGAGAGAGGAGAGGAGAGGAACTCAGAGCACCCCCCCAGTACAGTTACCGATTCAGTGTTTGTTCTAGTATTGACCCTAGTTCACTACACTACTTGCCATTGCTGTTGTTGTAGTTCCTAGTCAGCCTATATTCTTGTGTAGTGTAGCTCTTGAGTCAGTCACTGTGTGTGGTTGTGCTGTTCTCAGCCAGTTGCTTTACTAGCATTGGAACCAGGAACCAGGTTCCTGGACCAGTCAAATCCCCTCAGTCTTTG